AATCTCTTTTTGGAGGTATTAAAGCTTTAATATTATTTATTTATTTATTAAGCATGCAGTAATTTAATTTTTAAGTCTTCTTTGCTTATACAAGAAAGAAAGCTACCCATTGACAAGCTCCTGAAAAATATAACTGAATAACCAGATTTGTTTTTAATTAAGGAATCTTGATCCTTCAAAAACCCAATTAGTTATTTTAGTTTTATTTATTTCCAAAACGTCAACTAGTAGTTCTTACTTGGTGAATAAGTGTAAATATTTCTGTGTAAATTCCGAATATAAAAAGGAAAAGGGAATGAAATAAGATATATTGTTTTTAATCTAAGAAATAATAAGAGAGTTGTTGACCAGTTAGAATATCTGAAGCTTTGATTTATTATGCTGGGATTGCAATCCGCCACCTACCAGAATACAACATTGAAAGCTGACTCTGAGTATCCTCGAATCATTTCGACATTTTTTTGTTTAAATTATAATATTACTCACGGATTGGTATATAAACTTAAGAAACAAGCGACTTATGCACCAAACTAGTGTGTGTGTATGTGATGTAAGACAAACTAAAAATGCATTAACTATTTGATGATGGGTATGATTATATGGAGCAATTTCTTGATTGCGAGTGAAGAATGTCCGTAATCATGAACATAATCTAAATTCCTTGTGTGAGGGTTTTGATTCCAGTCCATGCATAGTGCTTGTGATGATTACATTCATATGATTAAACCAATAAAATTTAATAAATTCGTATTTGATTATATGTAAATTAGATTGCGAATTTTTCAATCCAATTGAAATTGAAGTGGGATAGTGAATTGTAATTTGTAATTTATATAATTTAAATGCTTTTTTATAAAGAGCGATGATATTTTACTGATAAGAGGAATAGAAATAAGTACAGGCAACAAATGAAATTATGAATCTGTCGTTTTGGGGCAATTGGATTGGATCTTTTTAATACTCTTCATAAGATGGACGTTGCCAAAAGATTACAATTCTGAAAATTGCCTACATGATTATTACCATAGGTTCACTCATGGTATGCTCCACATAAACCAATATACCACCTTATGACGTCTGCATCATTGGACCAGTCTTGCTTTCGCATGTATACATAATCATCATTATAATTAATTACGATTGTGTGCTAATTCTATATTGATACTGATCTTAGGCACCAAACAACAACCATAACAACAAATGTAAGTTTACCAATCCTATCATCTACCCTAATTTTAAGTTCAACTGATTTGACTTTGGACACAAAGGTCAACATCATAGGCATATATGGTCAACTTTTATCACTAGTTCACAAGAATTCGATACCATGGAATTCGAACCCCAAAAAAAAAAACCATACCACGGAAACTAACCACAAAAAAATATAAAATTGGACAAGTTTTTTTTTTTTTAGGTTTCAATTCGCACTAGGAATTAGAATAGGATACCAATTTTTGGTATTAATTAACAAGAATCCATGCTTTCTTCTCTAGCAATAAAAAGATTATGCTACGAATATGTAATATCCGATCATAGTAAGGATTTCCTTGTCATAATAATAAGCCTTGCAACGGAGACTTGCCCGTTTTGTTTTTGTTTTAATTGATATTTCATTTTCGAAAAACTAAAATAGAAAAACTTCATTAATTTTCCAATAAAACAGTACACCTAGAAAACCTAGAAAATATAGGTCTTCCTTGGATGACATCGTTAAAACATTGCCTTAAAAAACCCATAAAAAAGGAAAGTTCGGTGAAGAAAAAAGAATACTCAACATCTCAATCAAACCAAAACTTATTCTACTCGTAACATTTTACCAATAAAATAAACGGCCTTCTTTAATTAGAGACT